TGTTATCTGTTATAAATACTTTCCTAAAAGTTTTAAATTCATAAAATTTATAACTTCCGTGTCACTATACTAATCAAAATCATTATCCAAACTTTGTCATCATTAACCTGAAAAATTAAAAATGAAAAAATTTTAAGTGATGGAGAGAGTCCGGAATAGAATAATCATGGACTGATAGTAATCTCTATAAAGGTCTAATCATATTATGACCAATTTCCTTTTATTTGGTTCTGAAAAGTTAAATTCTATAAAAAAAATATTTTTTATTATAGCAATCTATTCAACAAATTGGAAAGGTGGGCCCCTTTAAAACATTTTTAATTGGACTCAAATTTTTCAGGACTATTCTGGATTAATCTGGTCTATTAAATATGATCTGATCAAACTTGATCCGGTCTATTTAAATCTAGTTTGGTGTGATTTTGTCTAGTATATATGGTCAGCAATCAAAGTAAATCCAAACAAAAAGATGTTTAATGCCCAATTCTACCTTTCTTTGTAACCATTTTTATCGTTTTAGTTTAAAAATAGGCAGCACTTTAAACTTTTAAAAAAGATTGGGGCACACCATGAAACATGGCAGCATGGATATACAATAATTCGTCAATGGGTGTACTTTATGGTTTCGGATTACATCATCTTTTTTAAAAACTAAGACATAATTTTTTTAATTATTTATGCAAAAACTATTTCAGTAAAAATATCATCTCGTACCTAAGTTTATTTTAACTTAATCGAAAATTTTGTGATCGAAAATAATCTATTTAAATCATGTCTAGCATGACGTAGACCGACATGTTTAACTTTAATTAGTTTATTACTTTATTCCAGTAAACGTCGTCTATTGTTTGTGTATTGTATTATTGATTATTATGTCTGGTCTAATGATTATGATTAAAAGCAGTCCAAACAAAAACATTCTTTTTTTAACCCGGAAGGCAAATCAACAAAATCAGTGGGGCAAATGTCGGGAAACATTTGCCGAGTTTTATTGATGATAAAGAGAACGAATACAAACGGAGGGGGGGATTAGACCAAAACCTCTCCGGAAGGCATACTTTCCACAAAACATGAGACGAAAATAAAAGAAATACGGAAAGTAGAAAAAACCATGGGGGGACCGAACCTTACCCATAGCTACAACAAAATAACAGAACATAATCGGAGAATTAGTAACGCCTAATATAAGAGAGTTGCAATTTATCCGCCAAGATGGACCTACGAACCAAAACCGGAAGCTAGTTGGTTTATAATATTATAATTATAAACCATTCATAATAATTATAATATTATTACCATAATCGCTCACTTTAACATGATATGGACATTTAGTGTAACTTATTTGAATGACTATAGTCTACATTTCTTGTGCTACTTAATTTATATGAATGAATAAACTTTTATATTTTAATTTTTTGTAGATCCAATTATACAACAATGTAATGTAATTTTACGATTAAATAACACTACGGCCGGTCCGGGGGAAGGCGGGTGACTGCCCTAGGCACGAAAAAATAGAGAGAGAAAATAGGCACAATTGTTTTCTATATATAGTGTGAGTCGGCTTCTTTTTTATATTTAAGTTCAATTAATTAGGTCTAATATTTAATATTTATTGACAATTTAAAAAATTAGAACATAAGTAAAAAGTTTTAAACGAAGCCAAGTTTAAAAAAAGAATATATACTCCCTCCGTCCCAATTTGTAAGATACTTTATGGTTTACGATGTTTGACCGACGATAAAGCAAATTGATTCATATCAACACTCAAATTAATTTTAAAAATTAAAAAATTTACATATTCAGAAACTACATTAATACCACTACAAAGCCTGCAAAAATTAATTCAAATTTTATAAAATTTTGATATATAAAGTAAAAGATTAAGAGTGATTTATGTTGACCAAGTAAATAGGAAACATATCTTACAAATTAGGACTGGGGGAGTGTTAATTTTAGGTAGAACTAGTTGTAGTTTTTTTAAGCAATACAATTGTTGTTGAATCAATAAAAGACATGTCTCTCCTGTCTCCACATCTCTTTAGCTTTAAATGTTTTTTTATTCCTTTTAAGAAAGTATTATTGATGATTTTGTTTCACAATGTTCCGCGAGAAACCCTTAAAGTAATGTTTTTTTCTTTTTATGTAATACTTGTGTTGTTACTTTTGTCCAAATATGTAATTTAAATAATAGTAAAGTGGTTTTTTCCTTTAATTTATGACCTTTATTAGATATTTTTTTATAATTCATATTTTAAATATGTATAGTTTAAGTTTAGTCTTGGCCTCTTGGGTATATAAGCCTAATATAATATATCACCCATAGGCCCAGAAATGGGCAGGATCAGCCTTGAATAACACATGCAAGACGGTGAATGGAGTGTAAAAAATAAAGAGTTTATGGAATCATATATACTTTATAATATTTCTACTTAATTAGAGCGGTGTGTTCCAATTGTAGAAGTAAGCAACATAAAGATGTCAAGTAAGTAGTCAAAAATGGCTCAAAAGTTTGTATGTTCAGAGACGGGGTTAGGGCAATAGGTTGGACTAGGCCCGTACAAACATCATTTTTAGAAAAAAGTCACACAGATTTTTTTACACTAAAAATAAAGTATTTTCTAAATTTGAGATGGGTTGGGCCTTGGTTAGCCCGTAGCTCGCCGATGTGTGAGTAACCAGTAACAACCTCACATCAATCACACCTGGTTAATTAATGTGATTGAAGTTTTGAACAAATCATTTGCCAAATTTGTAGAATTAGGTTACCTAATATAGTAGTGGTTGAAAAAAAATGTGTGTGAAACAAAGATGAAGTGTTCAAGAGAAAGAAGAAAATGGTAGTGATAGAATCTTCTTAGCTACATAAGAAAAATCATGCATAGGGGCAAAACTTAGAGTAATTTTCTTATCTTTGCATCTAAGACATCTTTTTTTGTAATGGGAAAATTATGATGATTGTGTTTAAATTCACAAGGTCAATGTAAATTGAAAACAACTATGGCAAATGAGACCTATCTATATTAATTTAGGAATAATTGACAAAAATAATCTCAATTATTGAAAAAAATCCAAAATGGTCCATTGTCTCGTAAATCTTATTAGCAATTTACGGGTTACTATATGTCACTGCAGCATTTTGAGAATACTCTTCTATAGTTTCGGTTATTATATCAAGATAGTTAATCTGGGCTATTTTAATTCTTAGTCTTTTTTTTTACCCAGTGGTAAACCATCATAGGATGGGGGTAAGGGCTGGGGAACACCTTACCATTTATTAAGAATGAGAGTGAACTAGAGACACGGTAGGAGGAATAGACCAATGCCTACCCAGAAAAGAAAACTATATAATATAAGGAAAAGCAGTTGCATCGAATTTAAGAATATTGCTGATTCTATTGGATTTTACATCAACTCCCATACTAATTTCTTTTGCGGCGCAGTTGACCTTGTTGTTAACAAGACTAATGGTGATGTGGTTTTGATGCAAAATCCTTCGAATGCAAGAGATGATGAAAATTTGATCCCAATGTTGCACGCAATGAAGATTAATGGCTTGGAAGACTTGGGCATTGTTAATTTGGATGTTAGAGTAATAGATCCTCCTATCCCTACAGAAAATGAGGAAGTCATAGTAAGCATCAATGAAAGCCCTCATAGTGGAGGAAGAGAAAAGTTTGCTTTTGTGATGGAAGATCATATCGCCATTATGGTTCCTTGCCAAAAACCCAAAAGTGTGTGAGAGCCCATTTTTTGTGTGACCTATGTTAAGGGTTCTATGGTTATGCATAGGAGGATTCCAGGACACCACTTTGGGTCTACTTCTAATAGCCTTATTAGGTCTTTTAGCATCCTGGATGGAACTGATCTCCCGACGAATATTGTAAATGGCCTCAGAGTAGTTAGGGGAGATATCATCATACAGGGTGCTGTTTCTCAGCTTCCAGAGGTTCCAAAGAATGACAATATAAGTTATAAAGGATTTATGATGGGTCCAATTAAGAATGTTGTCCCTTAAATATATTGCCATCCAACCGATGACCCTGAATATTAAAGTAACTCCGGATTGGAGTGTGAGACGGACAACTCAGAAAGAAATGGTCAGTAGAGTCATGGTGGTTGCAGTGAGGACATTTAAAAGGCCCATGAAAACCCATTTTCTGGAGCGAGTCAGCACACACAATGAGATTGTTAGTGATCCGCCAAAGGAAGAAGGAAATCTTCTTTGGAATCAGTTTCTTCCATAAAAGGTGAAGATTTTTAATCTTGGGCCTTTTATTCCTTATCTCATCATAGGCCGTCTTAAAGGAGAATTCACCGTTAGTGGTGCGGGTCCAGTGAGTATTGTCTGGTGTCTCTTCAAAGGAGGGACTATTGTTAATAAGGGTCGTGCTAATGTGTAACACCGTCCCCAAATATATTTACGTTCATGTAAATAATGTATTGAACCTTATTAAAGGATTAATGAATTTACGAAGTTGTAAATTTTTATTATTTCTTTCGCGTGAATAGTAAATTGCACGTGGGACCCACACCGGGAGCGAGGGGCCACCCGATATTCCCGAGATCACATAAATCATTCTTATGGGTCGAAATAATATTTATATAGTGGTGGATATTTTATTTGGGTCGTGAAAAGGCCCAGAGTTGACCGATTGGGCAAAAGAGGCCCAAATACCGGTACCGACAATTTAACAGATAACAGCCCGAAAATGAATTTCGGAGACTTCTAAATTAATGTTTTGGAATACATATTATTTCAAAAGGACATTACGATTGAGAACACGTAAAATATTTTATTGAACCCGATAAAATAAAATATATTTAAAACGGTCCGAAAAATACAACTTTCGGGACCGATTGTACCTTTCGGGACAAGTTGGGATGACCTCCCACATGAGTGGGGGCCACCCCACGTTTTTGGGTCTCAAATGGGACTTGTGTGGCCGCACAACATGTGAAGATGAAGCTAAATTGATTGGAATGGGATCATTTGAGGTGTGGACCTCACCCACACACATTATTTGTCAATTAAGACAAAGAAGGACACTTCCTACCTCTTTCCTCATCCTTGTGCTCGACCAACCCCTCCAAGGAGAAGAAAATTGAACTCTCAAAACACTCTCCATTGCTGCAACTCGAGCTCAAGCCATAGAGGTCCAAGGAGGAAGATTTGAGAAGGAAAAATCTAGGAAAAGTGTGAATGATAAAGGTAATGACATCATATTAACTTTTCCTTTATTTTTCTTCTACCATATGAAGTATATATCATGTGAAGAACCTTTATTATGGTTCCATATGATATAAGGGTGGATTCATGGGTTGGAAGATGGTTCTATGTCCAAGAACGGACTTAGAGGCCAAAACTACCGGTTCACCGGAAAATAACCTTTTTGAGGTTATGTGTATTAACATGGGTTTTATGACTATAAAACCTTGTTAGGAACTTGTAAAGGGTATTTCAAGTGGTTTCACAAAGTTGGAAAAGTCGCCGGAGTTGTCGCCGGAGTTGACCAAAAGTCGCCGGAGTTTCACCGGAGTTCAACTAAGAAGGGTAGAACTTCATAACGCTAGTTCAAGGTGAGTGGACGGCTTAATATCTTATAACTTTTGGGTTAATTATAAGATTACCTAAATAAATGTTATATGAATTCATAATGATGTTTAAAAGATATTTAAACATGTGATTAGCCAATAGGGTTAAGTTTGTATGAAAGAAATAGATTGTTTATGCATAGAATATGATATGAAGAATTATATAAAATGCATATTTGCTTGAAGTGTATTAGAAGCACAAATGAATATTTTAACTTAATTATGCGATGATTAAGTTGATTTGTACAAGGTTTGAAATGGCGGTCAACGACCACGTTGACCGGTGGATAATGGATTAATTAATACCGGTCGATATTAATTAATTGTACATTTACATAATTGCATGGCTTTGCATGGAATGTGATACATAAGTTTTATGTATTGGATTAGTTATGAATGGCTAAATATGATATAGACCCTACCTAGTGTGATATGTGGTAAGTCATAGGTCGGGTGGAGTACCCAAGGATCGGGCGGTTATCCTCAAAACTCGGTTATATAGGGTGGAGTACCCAAGGATCGGGCGGTTATCCTCAAAACTCGGTTATATAGGGTGGAGTACCCAAGGATCGGGCGGTTATCCTCAAAACTCGGTTATATCGGGTGGAGTACCCAAGGATCGGGCGGTTATCCTCAAAACTCGGTTATATAGGGTGGAGTACCCAAGGATCGGGCGGTTATCCTCAAAACTCGGTTATATAGGGTGGAGTACCCAAGGATCGGGCGGTTATCCTCAAAACTCGGTTATATAGGGTGGAGTACCCAAGGATCGGGCGGTTATCCTCAAAACTCGGTTATATAGGGTGGAGTACCCAAGGATCGGGCGGTTATCCTCAAAACTCGGTTATATAGGGTGGAGTACCCAAGGATCGGGCGGTTATCCTCAAAACTCGGTTATATAGGGTGGAGTACCCAAGGATCGGGCGGTTATCCTCAAAACTCGGTTATATAGGGTGGAGTACCCAAGGATCGGGCGGTTATCCTCAAAACTCGGTTATATAGGGTGGAGTACCCAAGGATCGGGCGGTTATCCTCAAAACTCGGTTATAGGGTGGAGTACCCAAGGATCGGGCGTGTATCCTCAAAACTCATAGGCTACATTTAATGATCTAGGACCGGATGGTGTCCTTATGATAATTTATTTGAACAAGGAGGAGTTCTATACACTCATAGGTATATGGGTGGGTTGGGATTTAAGTCAAGGATATTGGCTACTATTATTTTCCCAAATAAACAATGACCTACGGGTCGGGTATTTCCAAGTGTATGTATACTAATATGTATTTCAAACTTGGGGAAAGGACTATACGTATATGTATCATCCTATGTTTGGGTCTTATACTTGAAACGCTAGTTATTCTATATTTAGCCTGCTACTCGCTCGGTACTTGTACTGACCCCTTCGGGGGGCCCCACCATTCTCAGGTTGAAGCTAGGGCTTGCCACCTGCACCTTCCTACGGGTGACATCAAATCAAGGAAGACGTGGTTCGTGCTTCCTCATTTTATTTCAAATTACCAAACATTGCTCATGGATATTTTTATTTGTTATAAACTATTCTTTTGGGGCTTGCATGCCCATGTTATTGGCCGGTTGTGGCTTATGACTTACCGTTGAATATTCCCGCTATTCATTGGTTTAAATGTGATGTTGTTATGTATGTTTACTACTGAGTATGGATGGATTATTTTTCTCGAACGCCTTGTGTAATCAAGTGAGGTTGACTCGCGGGTGACATCACTTGATTTCACGGCGGTTGTACACGCGCTTGGATTGCGGTCTGGGGCGTGACAATTAAGTGGTATCAGAGCCATCTCAGTTCTAAACTATATAATCAACCTCTCACAAAAGATTTTACAAAAGAGTTCTTACCGAAAACCATGAGCATTGTATTTTGACGTTTATAGGACTATTGGTGCTTAAGTTGCAAGACCTCTAATTGTTAAGACGGTACCCTTAACAATTGGTATGGTGGTGACTTGGGTCGATACGTGTCTATAACGTTTTTCTGTCAATTGACATTCATAGGAGTCTAAAGACTCGTCCAAATTCCGTTTCAGAAATGGAGGGTAAGCGAATGGCAACAAGAAATGACCCTAAGGGACAAGCGTCGGTAGCTTACCTTGAGGCTAGCCGGGCTGTGTCACGAGCCTTTACGGGGAGAGGAATAGGCCATGGGGGCCGTGAGGGCCGCCAAGCGGCAAACGCTAATCAAGTGGGCTCGATGTGTAACATGAACACCAGGAGGAACGAACGTAGGCGTCAGGCGAGGCGAGATCGGGCCACCTCCCAACGTGATATGACTGTCAGCCAAACCCATCCTTGGGCAAACGACCAAGGAGGAGAAAGCACTCTTACGGCACCGGCATCACCGGTGAAAAAGAAAAGGAACTCAAAGTGGCACACGTCCTTTCCTTACTCCTTAAGACCATCCAAATGTTCTAATTGCTCTCAGAAACATTTTGGAAAGTGCAACGAGCCCCCGATGTGCTACAAATGTGGGAGCACAACCCATATGAAATTAAGTTGCCCATGGAGGAGGCAACGAGAGACATTGCAAGCCGAGGAAGGGCTCACCGTGGAAGGAAACCATACGGAACCAACGATGAGCAACGCTACGTCCGTCAATCAAGGCGGGGCCCAAGCAAGGGTCTACGCAATGACCGAGGCGGATGCGAGAGCAAACCCGGACTCCGTTGCAGGTAAACACGTATTCCCATGTATTTCTAGGCTTACTTTGGTCATATACGTCGTTGGGATTGAGTGCGGGCCACCCCGGGGTCAAACCGGGTGAGTTAGGCCGAATCGGGCTGGAAACAGCCACTGCTGGCCAGGCACGCCCGCAGGCACGCCGTGCCTGGCATCGTGCCTGGAAGGCAGTGGCACCCGAAGAAGAAGAAAAAAAAAAAAAAAAAAAAAATTGGGCCAGGCACGGCCGCAGGCACGCCGTGCCTGGCGTCGTGCCTGGAAGGCAGTGTGTCCGAAGGAATTTTTGGCCAGGCACGGCCGAAGGCACGCCGTGCCTGGCATCGTGCCTGGCCGGCAGTGGCAAGCAGGGTGAGATTGTTGCACGCACGGCCGTGCGTGCCACCCAGGCACGCCGTGCGTGGACCCCCAACACCCGAAAGTTGATTTTTTTTCGCCCCGTTCTTCTACGTTTGGACCCCCGTTTGTTTCCAAACATTAGTATTAACTTAATAACCTCCTAAAGATGTGTAAAAACACTAGAAAATGTATCTTACATGGTGTATAAATGTAGGAACATTAAAGATCAATGGTAGGTGTGCGAGGATCCTCATCGATACCGGGGCACAACGCTCATTCGTGAGTGAGGCGTTCGCCGAGGGCCTTGGCGTGCCATTGACACCTATGACGCAAGCGTTGCTAGTCTCCACACCGTTAGGAGACGACGTGGAGAGAGATCATTACTATCCCTCGTGTGAGGTAGAAGTGACGGGTCAACCTTTGACTTGTGATTTCGTACCTCTGAGCATGTTGGAGTTCGATGCAATCCTAGGAATGGATTGGCTCGAGAAACACCATGCTCGAGTAGATTGTTACACCAAGGTGTTGGAGCTCGAGGATGATCAAGGAAACACGCTATGTTTCGAAGGAGATCGGGGGAAATCTAATGCTTGTATCATATCCGTGATGAGAGCACGGAAGATGATGAGGAAGGGATGTCACGCATACCTTGCTTACGTGGTAGACGATACGAAGAAAGAAGTCGACATCAAGGATGTTCGAGTCGTGTGCAAGTACCCGGACGTCTTTCCCAAGGACCTACCGGGGCTTCCACCCGATAGGGAGATTCAATTTGTAATCGAAGTGGAGCCGGGGACCAAACCCAATTCGATTCCTCCTTATCGAATGGCACCGGCCGAACTTCAAGAGTTGAAGGTCCAACTACAAGAACTATTGGACAACGGGTTCATCTGACCCAGTCATTCACCGTGGGGAGCACCCGTACTATTCGTAAAGAAGAAAGATGGTACATTAAGAATGCGTATCGACTACCGACAGTTGGACAAGGTCACCATCAAGAACAGGTATCCCTTACCGAGGATTGATGACTTGTTCGATCAACTTCGAGGAGCAATAGTGTTCTCGAAGATTGACTTGAGGTCGGGGTATCATCAGTTGAAGATCAAGGAGAGTGACATACCTAAGAGTGCATTTCGCACTAGATATGGTCATTATGAATTCCCGGTGATGTCGTTTGGTTTAACCAACGCACCGGCGGCATTCATGGACTTGATGAACCGTGTGTTTAGTGAATACTTAGACCAATTTGTGATAGTATTCATTGACGATATCTTAATATACTCCAAGAGCGAGGAGGAGCACGAACATCATTTGGGGCTTATACTTGATCGGCCAAGGGAAAAGCAACTCTTTGCCAAGTTCTCTAAATGCGAATTTTGGCTCAAGGAGATTGGTTTCCTCGGTCATGTCATATCCGGTTCAGGCGTTGCTGTGGATAACGCCAAGATAAAAGCTATCATGGATTGGGAGAGACCCAAGAATGTGAAAGAGATACGTAGTTTCCTTGCCTTAGCGGGATACTATCGTAAATTTTTTGAAAATATTCTCCGTATTGGCGTCTCCATTAACGAAGCTCACAAAGAAAGGGGCCAAGTTCATATGGGACTACAAGTGTGAGAAAGGGGTTCCTTGAACTGAAGAAACGACTTACCGAAGCACCAGTCCTCGCCCTACCCATACAGGGGATAGGGTATGATATTTACAGCGATGCTAGCATCCAAGGGCTTGGATGTGTTCTGATGCAAAACGGTAAGGTGATTGCCTATGCTTCTAGACAATTGAGGAAACACGAGGTGAACTACCCTACCCACGATCTGGAGTTGGGGGCGGTAGTGTTTGCACTAAAGATTTGGAGACATTATCTCTACGGGGAGACATGTCACATTTATACAGATCGTAAGAGCTTGAAGTATGTATTCACTCAGAAAGAGTTGAATATGAGGCAGAGGAAATGGATGAAGTTGATCAAGGACTATGACTTGATCATTGACTATCATCCCGGAAAGGCCAATGTAGTGGCCGACGCACTGAGCAGGAAGAGTACGTCAGGGACGTTAGTTACTTGTCTGCAGGCATTGTGGGCACGCGTGGAGGTGTCCACGTGCGGGGCTCTCATTGCTCAATTTGAGGTTAGGCCCACCCTATTGGGCGAGATTAGTCGAAGTCAAGCCATTGATGAGGAATGTCAGAAGATCCGTGAAAGGATCCTTGAAGGACCCGTCGAGAATTTTCGGGTACGTGATGACGGTCTTTTATTGTTTAAGGATCGTGTGTGCATACCAAGGAATGAGGGACTCCAGAAATCTATACTTGAGGAGGCTCATTCTTCAGCTTATGCTATGCATCCAGGAGGTACTAAGATGTACCGAGATTTGAAGGAAAGTTACTGGTGGTCAGGTATGAAGAGAGACATCGCCGAGTATGTGAGTCGGTGCCTTACTTGCCAGCAAGTTAAGGCAGAACATCAGCACCCGGCAGGGCTTTTGCAGCCACTCACCATCCTAGAGTGGAAGTGGGAGCACGTGACCATGGACTTCGTGGTGGGGCTACCACGAACGGTGAACAACTATGATGCAGTTTGGGTAGTGGTTGATAGGCTCACCAAGAGTGCACACTTTTTGCCTATCAACATTACTTATCCTCTTGAAAGATTGGCCAAGCTATACACAGAGGAGATTGTGAGATTACATGGAGTCCCAATATCCATTGTCTCGGATAGGGATCCACGATTCACATCCCGATTTTGGCCAAAGTTTCAAGCATCGTTGGGTACTAAACTGAGGTTTAGCACAGCTTTTCACCCACAGACGGATGGACAGTCTGAGCGGGTGATACAGATTTTGGAAGACATGCTTAGGGCGTGTGCGCTGGAGTTCCAAGGAAGTTGGGACAAGCATTTGGCCCTAGTGGAGTTTGCTTATAACAACAGTTATCAAGCAAGTATCGGCATGCCTCCATATGAGGCATTGTATGGGAGGAAATGCAGAACACCTTTGTGTTGGGACGAGGTTGGCGAGGCTAAACTCGAAGGGATAGAACTGGTTGAGATCACCAAGGCCAAGGTGAGGATCATTCGGGATAGACTGAAGGCTGCTCGGGACCGACAGAAGAGTTATGCTGATAAACGGCGGAGACGGTTGGAGTTCGAAGTCGGTGATGAGGTCTACCTAAGGATTTCTCCTTGGAAGGGCATCATTCAATTTGTATCGAGGGGAAAGCTTAACCCCCGATACATAGGTCCGTTTGAGATCCGTGAAAGGATCGGGGCCGTGGCTTATCGTCTCAAGTTAACGCCTGAACTTGAGAAGATACACGACGTGTTTCATGTATCAATGCTCAAGAAGTACATACGAGACCCATCTCATATTCTTGATAAACCACCGGTAGAGATCCGTGAGGACTTACAATATGCGGTTGAACCAGTGAAGATTGTTGGTCAACAAGTAAAGAAATTGAGGAATAAGGAGATTCCTATGGTAAAGGTCCTTTGGAGAAGTGATCGAGTCAAGGAAGAAACGTGGGAGACCGAAGTCTCAATGAGGGAACAATACCCATTTCTTTTCAATTAGATACTTGGATTTCGGGGACGAAATCCCAAATAAGGGGGGGTGAACTTGTAACACCGTCCCCAAATATATTTACGTTCATGTAAATAATGTATTGAACCTTATTAAAGGATTAATGAATTTACGAAGTTGTAAATTTTTATTATTTCTTTCGCGTGAATAGTAAATTGCACGTGGGACCCACACCGGGAGCGAGGGGCCACCCGATATTCCCGAGATCACATAAATCATTCTTATGGGTCGAAATAATATTTATATAGTGGTGGATATTTTATTTGGGTCGTGAAAAGGCCCAGAGTTGACCGATTGGGCAAAAGAGGCCCAAATACCGGTACCGACAATTTAACAGATAACAGCCCGAAAATGAATTTCGGAGACTTCTAAATTAATGTTTTGGAATACATATTATTTCAAAAGGACATTACGATTGAGAACACGTAAAATATTTTATTGAACCCGATAAAATAAAATATATTTAAAACGGTCCGAAAAATACAACTTTCGGGACCGATTGTACCTTTCGGGACAAGTTGGGATGACCTCCCACATGAGTGGGGGCCACCCCACGTTTTTGGGTCTCAAATGGGACTTGTGTGGCCGCACAACATGTGAAGATGAAGCTAAATTGATTGGAATGGGATCATTTGAGGTGTGGACCTCACCCACACACATTATTTGTCAATTAAGACAAAGAAGGACACTTCCTACCTCTTTCCTCATCCTTGTGCTCGACCAACCCCTCCAAGGAGAAGAAAATTGAACTCTCAAAACACTCTCCATTGCTGCAACTCGAGCTCAAGCCATAGAGGTCCAAGGAGGAAGATTTGAGAAGGAAAAATCTAGGAAAAGTGTGAATGATAAAGGTAATGACATCATATTAACTTTTCCTTTATTTTTCTTCTACCATATGAAGTATATATCATGTGAAGAACCTTTATTATGGTTCCATATGATATAAGGGTGGATTCATGGGTTGGAAGATGGTTCTATGTCCAAGAACGGACTTAGAGGCCAAAACTACCGGTTCACCGGAAAATAACCTTTTTGAGGTTATGTGTATTAACATGGGTTTTATGACTATAAAACCTTGTTAGGAACTTGTAAAGGGTATTTCAAGTGGTTTCACAAAGTTGGAAAAGTCGCCGGAGTTGTCGCCGGAGTTGACCAAAAGTCGCCGGAGTTTCACCGGAGTTCAACTAAGAAGGGTAGAACTTCATAACGCTAGTTCAAGGTGAGTGGACGGCTTAATATCTTATAACTTTTGGGTTAATTATAAGATTACCTAAATAAATGTTATATGAATTCATAATGATGTTTAAAAGATATTTAAACATGTGATTAGCCAATAGGGTTAAGTTTGTATGAAAGAAATAGATTGTTTATGCATAGAATATGATATGAAGAATTATATAAAATGCATATTTGCTTGAAGTGTATTAGAAGCACAAATGAATATTTTAACTT